TAATTGCAATTACTGGAACGGTGGCTATAAAACTAAGAAACCACAAAACATCAAAATGCCCACCATTGAATATCAATTTTTAAGGGAAACTAAGTCTCTCCTGGCTATTAATGCTGAAAAATTAATTACAAAACATCATATATGTAAATATATACAGTGCTGTATCCTTTCAGTCTTGTAGTCTTTTCCAAGTTCTTGTATGTTGAATTCATTAATGTTGGATCACTGATTAATCCACACGCGTTTTATTACTATTAGAACTTATTCATGATAAAATCGGATACAAGTCAATGTTTAAACACACACACATATATATATTGAAGGTGAATCAGAAAACTTTTTATAAGTTTTGAAGGACATATTATATTATCCATATCACTCAATAAAATTATATTACATATATTTATAGAAAAAATAATCTAATTAAATGAAGCATATATGTATTAATTTGAATTTATATGAATCATTGGGTGACAATTCATTAAACCACATACCGTTATGATTTTATTTTAGACTTTAAACATAATATTAGTTAATTAATAATCTTAGTTATCTTTATGGACCGGAGAAAAGTCTGTTGGCATATATAGTTGAAGGCTTGAATTCCTGGAGTATTCCATCATATCTTTCTCATGTTAAAAATTCATGTTATATAACAAGTAGATGTTCAAAATTTCAGTTCTAGAATATGAGGTCTAATTTCCGTAATTATCATGTCAATTCATTACAACTAAATTTAGTCAACCCATAATATGTGAATTAATCAGAGTTATGTATAATTCCACAATTATCGTGTCAAGACAATAATATGCACACTCGCCAACTCATTATATGCTTATTATAATACATCTTTAAATTGCAGAAGTGAGCATGGGTAAAGGATAGAACCAGAACCGGCGAGTAACCATTCGTCGGTTCTGAAAAATTGGAATCAGGAATTCTCGGGTCCAGCTCCAGTTTCTCCAGTGTCGTAATCGAAAACTGGAACCAGAATTGGAACCGAGGTCCAGATACTCAAGTAGGAATCAGGATTAAATTATAATTTTTGTAAACTATTAAGAGTGTATTTGTCATTTTTTAAAAAGTAGGTGGATAATGGAAATTAATCCAGGTACCCAGAACTAGAACCAAAACCTATGTTTCAGGTTGCGGTTCTGATTTTGATTCCGATTCCTTCAAAAAAAAATGCAGGGTATTTGAAACTGTCCACCCCTATTTTAAACACTAGTAATTACCGGATTTTAGGCTTATAGACAAATCAAATGCATCAAAATCACATCTGAATGTGAAGAGCCTTCAAAGTAGTATATATTATTCAGCAATCTAATCATGCAATAAGAAAATTAAGATAGATAGATAGTAAACCCAAGAGAGATAATTAATGCCCAAAAGCACTCCATTGATGAACATGTTAATCACTACTTCTATTATCATAATAGTCGTCGATATCGTAGATGTTATAAAAGCATCTCTAATTGTGCTTTTTATTTTAAAGAGTATATTTCATATAAATAAAGAGCATCTTTATTGATTTTTAAATATAAAGAATAAAATTTTTATTCAAATAATATAGACTCTTTAAATTTTATGAGAGAGAATATGTTTTTTCAAGAAAGAAACTTAATATGAGAGATAAATCATAAATAAAATACATAGAAACTTATAATTTATTATTTAAAATTATGATAAAGAGTGAAATTCGACTTTCTAAATGGGGAGAGTCAAACTCACTTTTTAATTTATATTTAAAGAATAAAAAGTTTGTTGGACTCTTGATTATATGGATAAACTCTTTATAATAAAGAGTTTGAGTCATATAAAAAGTCATTTGGAGATCTTTCAATAAAGAGTATATCCATAAAAACAGGAGTCCAACAGACTCTTTATCCTTAAAATATAAATTAGAGAGTGAGTTTGACTTTCTACATTTAGAGAGTCAAATTTCACTCTCTATCCTAATTTTAATTAATAAACTACAAGTTTCTATGTATTTTATTTATTAATTCTCTCTCTCATTAGGTCTCTTTCTTAAAAATAAAGAGCATATTCATTAAATTTAAAGAGTTTATTGGATTTGAATAAAAATTGTGTTCTTTGTATTTAAAAATTAATGAAGATGCTCTTTATTTATATGAAAGATACTCTTCAAAATAAAGAGCACCATTGGAGATGCTCTTTATTTATATGAAAGATACTCTTCAAAATAAAGAGCACCATTGGAGATGCTCTAATACTCTTTTTCATGACATAAAACGCATTCAACATTCATATTATTTATTAAAAGTCAATTATTTATTTTAGGCATATATTTTTTTTATTTAGATATAAATAAAATCTTCAAACTATATGATATATTCATTTTCAAAAATATTGTTTTCTCCAAAACTTTTTTTTTTTTTTTTATGATCGTGGTGTCCAGATCAATTTGTATGTATCTCAACTAATATTTCAAGATCTTGAAATTACTAGTCGAGTAAGAGCTTTAATGACTAGGGGTGAAAACTGAGTCAAGCCACTTGAATTGCTTGATTAAGCTCAGTTGAGCTCGAAAAACTCAATTAAGTTCCATTAAAACTTGATTGAAGCTTGAATTCTAATTTTAGGTACAATGCCGTTGGTAGGAAATGACATTTGGTATTGCAACGTATTCTAACTCGTCAAGTTGGGTTGGCGGGTTTTGTATTAAAGAATAAAGTTAAAATTATTTTATCAAGAAATTAAGGATTAAATTAAATTCCGATTATTTCGAGTTGGATATTATCGTTGATATCTTTCAAATCATTTTAAACAAAGAAATAAAATAAAAATTTGTGAAATAATATAATTTTAATAAAGTACAGTATTTTGGTTTCGAAAACGACCAACCATATTAAATTAATTTTATTTTACTTTATTCGCCCATTTTGAGACGTTTCATTGCAGTTGCTTTTATTAATCTTCGTAAAAGGAAGACGTTTGATTCAAGGGATATTATTAAACTGCACAGTGCCCACCGTTTGGCGCCTGGGCAACACTAAATTAGCGTTAATCATTTCAACAAGTACACTAAATTAGCGTTGATACGCCTGAAATGACCCGCCATAATGTCAACTTTCATAACTCATCTTCCTTAGCTTTTATTATTATTTTTATTATTATTTTTTATTTTATCCAAAATTAGTTTATTCATATCCCAACTAATCTTTTGAGACCTTAAAGTTGACAATCGGATAATCCCTTCAATTGTCACCCCTATTACCAACTCAAATGGATTAAACTTAAGACCTCTTAAATAATATACACAAGAATCTTAGTTGATCGTTAGATCACTCAAAGGTGGTTCATTTCTTTAGCTTTACAAATTCACTTTTTGAGAATTTTTTTATTTTTTATTTTAAATAAGTATGCATAGATAGAAAGAGAGTCTACAAGAAGATAGAAAAAAAATGGTCATCCTACCCTAGGACAAACTTTGGGTTAAGATCAATAGAATCAATTAGCTTATACAAAGCTCTGTTTTAAAAATCGGACCGGACCAGCCGGTCTAACAGGTTGGACCGGAACTCGGGGCCTTCTTCGATTCAGGTCACTCTTTTTAACTGTTTCACATTTAAAATATAACAAAACACCCCTGATTAATACGCACTAGTCCCTGAAGGTTTCAAATCTAGCAAACACACCCTCTAGCCAAATGCAAATCGGCAATGACCTCCCCTTTTCCGGTGACCTTCCACCTTCCCTTACTGTCGGAAACCACCTTCTGACTTTCTCCGGCGCTATCACGCTTCATCTCCAGCCGTCGCGTGATGTTTCGTCGTCCACCTTCGCCGCGTGATTTTTCTTCTATTTCCCGGCGTCGATCGACCTTCTCCGACATCGACAGGCTTCCTCAACCACCGATCTACCTTCTCCCAAGCTCCCTTGCCGTCGTTCACGAAGATCCAGTCATCTCACCAAAAAAAGCCATCGCGACCATTGACTTCCACCAACGATCTGCCATTTTCCGACGATGCCTCTACTTGCTAGCTGCCGATTCGCCCTCCCCATCATCCGATCTACCCTCCCTGGTGTGTCGCCGTTGCTCTCCCAATCGATGGCCGATTTGCATTTGCCCAGGGTTGTGTTTGCTAGATTTCAAACCTATAGGGTCTGATGGTATTTATCAGGGGTGTTTTTGTTAGATTTTAAACCTGTCAAACCATCGGTTCAACCGGTGATCCAACCAGTTGGACCGGTTGAACCGTGACCCGACCATCAGAGCGGGTTGCCCTCTGGTCTAGTTTTTAAAACAAGGATACAAAGACTAAAGGAGGCAAAAAAACAAGAGTAGACAAACGCTCTCCTCTTCCTAATTCAGGGTGCCCTTTCGAGTTAGGAAGCAAAAATCAACAAGCCTATACAGGAAACAATAAAAAGACCTATTCCTTAGGGGTGTGCAAAAATGGAAAATAATACAGTCACCGAAAGTAATACACCGAATTTATGCACCTAATGACGTGGTGTAATCATGACCATCGATTAATTATAACTTAATATTAATCGACGGTTAGGATTGCGTCACGTCATTCGGTGCACTACTTTCGGTGACTGTAACATTACTCGTGCAAAAATACTCGCTACCCAAACCGATCATGCTAATCAAACTCGAACCGAATTTTCGGGTACCCAAAAATTTGTGTCGGGTTCGGATAATAATAGCTCATGATGTATCCGAAATTTTGGTTTGGATACCAGATTATATTAAAAAATTAAATCGGGTACTCGACACCCGGTTTAATTAAAAAAAAAACAATAATGCTACGCTTACTCATGAACTTACTAACCGCCTTACTCACCTTTGTTAAAATTACATATGATATCCATACTATGCTTTATATTTACAAACGTTAGTAAGATAGTTAATAAGTTCGTGAGTAAGCGTAACATTACTTTAAAAAAAAAAAAAAAAAAAATTCAAAATTTAAAACAGTCAAATAAAACTATTAAACCAAAACACGATTCTTTTCTTCTTTGACTCATAACAGATGCGCCAAAATCACTTTGACCTAATCGTTAATTTCTCCTGTTCTCCACTCCAGTCCAGTTCGCATTCCGTCGATCTCGTTCCTGCCGGCAGCCGATCGTCGCCAGTCCTCTATCCTCAAGCTCTCACAACAGCCGGCAGCCACACGTGGACGTCTTCAGTCCTCTGTCCTTAAGGTATGTCAGTCTTATTCTCTGTTCTATTATCTGTTTATTCTCGGTTGGACGGCTGCTTATTGCTTGATTGAGTTCCTCTTTAATCGTTATTAACTCATTTAAAGCTCATTTTGATTAAGCAGTTCAAAAGGTGTTTGTGCCTTGTCTGACTCCTATTTGGAAGCTTATAGATAGTGCGGTAGTAAGAAGCTAGCTACGGTTTTGGTTTATGAATGTTGAATGTGCTTTCTGCTTACAGGCTGGATTTTATTTGGACTCAGTTTGGTTTATTAATTTTTTGCAATGGGAAATCTAGTGTTTATCAATTAATTAATGATGAAGCACTTTTAATTTGGTTTACACCTTACCTTACCCAGAATTTAATTTGTGTGAGTTTATCAATTTGGCTTACACAAATCTAGTTTGGTTTACAGACTGGTGAAGCACTTTTAATTTAGTTTATACCTTACCCAGAATTGAATTTATGTGAGTTTTTAAGTTACTTTTAGGAAGTACTTTCATTCATAAGCACTTATTATGCTATTTGACTAGTAAAGTACCTCAGAAAATGTTATTTAGTAACATATAATATATAATTAGTATGATAATATCATTAATTGTGGCTGTTTGTGCATTGAATTATTTGTAATGGATTGATTTGTTTTGGGTAATTGTTAATGTGTCAATTTTGAGTTTAAACCATAATTATCAAACTAACTTTATGGTGATTCTTTATAATATCTTATCCTTTCAGAACAACTATTTAAGAAGAGGTAGAAGACGATATCTCAAGTTTTGAGAATCATCAAGGCGTTCATCATGCTGAAGAATCCCCTTCCACTCCAGACACTTTTCTCACTACATCTCTGCAGAGTTCCTTTCCAGCGAAGAAAGTCAGATTAAGCGCTCAATTTGTATTCTGTGCCTTTGTTTCCTGTTTATTTTGGCTCTAATCATACGACATCAAGGTGATTTCCAGGTAATAAACACCTTTGAGGGGTTTAATGTCTTTGTGGTTTGCATCATGTTATCAATCACCGGAGTATATTGTGTGTTGCTGATCAGAAACCAGCCCGAGCTTGCAGTTCTTCGGAAATGTTATTTCATGCTGTCCATTGTTTCAATGGCATCAGCTTTATCAATATTGGGATATGCCTTGTTTCTGGAAAGTTTCAGGTGGGTTTATGGAGGACTAGATTTTGGCAAGATGAATATCTCAGCTTTTCAGATTTGATGGAAAAAGTAAGCAAAAAAGAAATTTATCAGCCAAAGATTTCTCTTATGTTCCTTTTTTAATGTCGAATTTGATAAACATAAAACTCTGCTATTTTCCTTGTGTTTTAGAATAGAGTAACTCTAAATTAGATCCAAAATATGTTATTTATATGGGTTGCGAGTTTGTTTCTAGATTGTTTATATGTTATTTGCTGATTATGACCAGAGTTCTTGTATTTGTGTGCTTCATTGAAATTTATAAGATTCATGCATATTTGGGGATCTGGTTTCGATGCCTTTCACCAGAGAACAATGTTTATTTGAAGAATTTGGGGGTATGAAGGTCTTTATGATTAAAGCTTCATTGTTAGTCTGGTTCTTGGATTTGGAAGAAATCTCAACAGTTTGAAGAAGAGACTATGTTTAAATTCATTTTGAATTATTATTAAGTAAACAAGCCTCAGATTTATTGTCATTTGGTGGAGGTTTAATTGATTGAATTTCCCAATCTTCAGTATCTCCTTCTGATTCTTTGAAATGACCAATTCAAGTTCTAATCAATATTGAGTTAGAAATGTTTCGATTCGCAACCGGTAAAGATTATTTTCTTGACATTGCTAGCATGAATTGAAACATAAGTTTGCATCTCCTTACTACAACAGGAACAGAAATACAGTGGTTAACTTTCGTATTGAGAAATTCAGGCCTCTGCATGTCTCCTAATCTTCTTCTTTAGTTTATCTCTTCAAGTTCTTTTCTCTTCTCCTCTGCTTTAACCTTTCATTTCTTCACCTGCAAAAGCACATCCCCCCGATTGAATAGGTAACATTAGAAAATCAATGCTTGAAAATAACAGCTTTCCAGAATTGATGTAAAATTAGGAAAAAAGAATTATCAGCCATGTTTTTGAAGATTACTCTTATGTTTCTTGAATCCATGTTTGTTATTGCACTTTCCTGTAAAATTATTAATCTTCTGAACTCCATTTTGAATGTTGAATTTGATAAACATATAACTATGACATTTGCCTTCCCTTTTAGAATAGAGTAACTCTAAATTAAATCCAAAATATGTTATTTATATGGGTTGCGAGTTTGTTTCTAGATTATTTAAGTGTTATTACTGATTATGACCAGAGTTCTTGTATTTGTGTGCTTCATTGAAATATATAAGATTCATGCATATTTGGGGATTTGGTTTCAATGCCTTTCACCGGAGAACAATGTTTATTTGGAGAATTTGTCTATATGCAGGTCTTTATGATTACAAGCTTCATTGTTTTGCTGGTCTGGTTCTTGGATTCGGAGAAAATCTGCATAGTTTGAAGAGACTCTGCATCTCAGATTTGTGGTAATTTGTCGGAGATTTAAAGAATGTTCTTTTTGAGCTTTTGCATCTCCTAATCATCTGTATTAGCTAGCTTTTTAATCTAGAATTGATCACATTAATTTTGCATCTCCTAATCATCTGAGCTTTTGTCGGAGATTTAGCTGTTTAATCAATTAATTTTCTTAATTACAAAAATAGTTAAATAAAAACGGATAAGATCCGATTTGGGCCCAACATAAACCCAGTCCATATCCGTTGCAACATGCTATCAAAAACTCCAAACAAAACCCTAACTTTGTGTTTTAATCGTGGTGAAGGTGCTTTGAAATTGAATTATTTTTATAGTTTGATAGTGAAACTACTTGTATAATGTGAATTTTTGTTCGAAGGTTTGATTTTTAAGGCTTATATACTGAATCTCTGGCGTTTTCATCTTAAAGTTGGCATATTGCGTTTAAATTGATTATATGGCACATTGCGCTGGTTGTGTGAGAGAAATTAATGGAAAAAGCTCGTTGTTGCGGTCTAATAGTAGCTTTAGTTTGAGAATTTGATAATTATTTATCAGGATTGAAGAATTCTGAGTGTCTCACAATATCACCTTTTTTTCCTTTTATTTTTTATTATTATTTTTTTTTTGAAATTAATGAATTGCTTATTTTTTGTGTTTGCCCATTTTCCTTAATGTTTGTGGTTTAGTGTAAACATGGTCTGATATTAACAATTACTAACCTGTGTCTCTACATAGGAACTGGACCTTATCCGAATGAAACAGAGAGGGAAAAGGGCGAAATCAGCTCTTGTGAAGCCAGAATCGAATCTTCCAAATGTGAAGGAGCTAATATACAAGAAGGTTTATGCAAAGATAGAGAAACAAAGTATTCCTCTGACAGATAATAACATTATTGAACAGGTATTGAATATATCTTGCTTAGATTTTCATTTCCTTCGTATGCATAATATCAATCTTCGCATGGTTCTCACTACCTTTGTGTTTCCTAGATTTCTTTAATTGTTTAGTGTCTTATTGCATATCTGGCAGACATTGGGGAAATATGGGATGGTTTGCATTGAAGATTTAGTACATGAAATTGCCAATGTTGGTCCACATTTTAAGGAGGTGATCAAGTTTTTGGGGCCTTTTCTACTAAGCAAACCAGGAGGATTTCTGGGGAAGAAACAACGATTCAAGGATGGTGGAGAGTCTGGAGATCGTGAGGATCAAATCAATGATTTAATCAGTAAGATGAATTAGTATTAAGAATAGATGGAAACACATGTGAGGATCAAATCAACGATATAACCATGAAATTGTATTACAGGTTGTACCATTGATCTGCAGCCCCCTCTATCCCAATTTTGATGTTATTTTATTTTATTTTTTTAATTTATTTTTGCTTGCCGGTATAAGTAATATCAGTTTATTTGCTGACTGAGCATACCCCTGCTATCTTCTCTGCAGCTATAAAAAGCTCACTGATTTTGTTAGGGTTGTCAATGTCATTGGTTGACCATTATTTTTAACTTTTATTTACCATAGCTGTTCAATTTTGCACTTTCTGGTTTGATGAACATGTCAACATGAAAAGGTTTATTGTTCTGTCATCTGTGACCATGAGAACAAAATACGAGTTTATCAGTTGATTTTTTTTTTTCCATGTTATATTATAAGTTCGACGTTGTGTCAACATAAATCGCGTTCCGGAAATGTTATCAAGTTGGAACTCTAATCGTTACACCATGGTTGATGAAATCGAGCTCTCAATTATCATGTCTACTTACTCGTTGAATTGAATCTATTTATGGCCAAAAGTGTAATGGCTTAAAACTAGGATAATTAATAAGGGTTTGGGAACATTACCAACAACTGAACAACGATGTAACATAATCCTTGTTAAAGTAACATAAAAGTCATAATCAAAATATATATATAAATTTCCAGTGAGCCACAAAAATAAGTTTTTGAAGCAGTCGTTTAGTGATAAACAAAAAGACCTATTCTTAATATTAACAAAGAAAAAAGAAAAGAAAAAAAAAGAAGAAAATAATAATATTCAAATAATCTAAAAGGACTCTGTTAACAACAAACTATTGACTAAAAGAAGTTACTCAAATAATCTAAAAAGGACACTAACGACTACAAAGTACAAACTAGTGGACCAAACGAAGTTTTGTTCATTCTCAGTCTCACTCAAGGGCAGGAAACTGAACCGCATCCGCAATGTTGATTGTCGTCTCAGTCTGAGCCTTGACGATGCCTCCATCAGCAGCAAGAGGGTGTTTTCTGCTTTCTCTTCTTCTCTGTGGTTTTAAGAAACCATTCATGTCTATTACTACCTTATGCTTATCATCAACTTTAGCTTTGTTGTGTTGGCTCATCTCTTTCTTCTTAGGCTTATCCAGGACATAATCATCATCAGTTTTCTTCTTATACATAAGCTTAATTGATTCGAAATCCTTATCGAGACCGACTTTCCTTTCAACATCTGTTTTCCAAACTGTATTCAGAGCTTGTTTCTTTTCAAGAAGCTCCTCCTCATACTCTTTCAGAGTCAAGTTTCTTTCAACAACTTGTTCTTCTTTCTGTTGATTATTATCTTGCATGGCTACTTCAAAGTGCTGTTTTTGCTTAGGTCTTCCACGATCACTGACTGGCTCTTTCATCGTCTTCTCTTGATAGGGAGCAACAATAGGCTTTGCGGCTAGTTGCTTCTTGTTGGTCTTCTTCTTCTTGGCATCTGCAGGCAAGGAAGTTGGAGTGTTGTTGGAAGGAATGTGAGTGATGAGTTTTGAAGAAAAGTCATCTCCATCTTCAGCAGTCAATAAATGGAAATAACTCTGAGTCACGACAATAGCCATGAGACTTGAGAGAAGAAAATTAGGCTACAACTGCTCTTGAGGATTTGACGAAGAGGGTTCTGTCTTTGGTTTGGGTTATGAGAAGAGATACGAGAGTATTTTATATATAAGTTATTGACAGGATCTCTCCTTTTCAAAGGAGGAAACGGATTTCATTAATTTATTTGTCCTTCTCCAATGAAGTAAACAAATAGTAACGCTAAATAACTAAGGAAACATCACGCCCTATCACTCTTTATATTATATTATTCTTTTATCTTAATAACGAATGATATATGGTTTTATAAATATCAATTTATTTTATTTATAACTCTTTATATTGCAGTTTGGAAACCCGATGTCGAAAGGAAAGTTAGTCTTAACGAAGATTTCGGATTAATCAAAGCTTGTGCAGAAAAAGAAAGTCCATTGTGATGTCAATGCTAAACGTAAGAAGAAAGATGATAAGAACAAGAATATGGTGGCAGTAGACATCAATGGTTTCTTGAAACCACTGAGAAGAGGAAGCTAGAAACACCCAGTTGCTGATAATGGAAGCATGGTGAAAGATGAGACTACTCTCAGCTTGAAGGATGTTTTTCAGTTTCCCGCAACCCTCAAGTGAAGTGATAAGAATTCACAAAGACTTAGTTTGGTGATTAATAAGAAGTCCAGAGTGTTTTTATATAATTTAAACAATGTTTTGTTATTAATATATACTTCAAGAAATCATGAAATTGATGTATATCATATTCCAATTTATATTATGATTTTTATGCAATTGTTTGTCTTACTTAATCTTTAATCAGTACAAGAATACATGCTATTATGACATAAAAATCACGTCGCAAAAACAAGAAGCGTCACTATATGCATACAATGGCACCGAACATAGCATCATATTGCTGTCGAGTTAGTCTTTTTTAATTATTTAAATAGTTTTGGATTGCTATTTTTTCTATTTTTGATGATCGGGCTGTCTGACCAATTTGTGCACACCTCAACTAATATCTTGAGATTCTGAAACCAAAGTTTTAAAACTTGTTAAAGTGGTTGGGTCTCAAGTTGGCCGGTTGAACTGATTTGACTTGTCAGTCAAACCGGTGATGTCAACATGTAAAAAGGCTTGAAATCCAGCAAAAACACCATTAAAAATTCATAAGTCTCTACAAGTTTGAAATCTTGCAAAAACATCCTAAATTACATCACCGCGTCAACAACCCAGGCAAATAGGGCATGTTTTTGGTGTCGACAACACACCCCATCACCATAAAAACTCTCCCCTTAGCCTCCTGACCAAAACCCATCTCACCCCACCCTCGTTCGCCTCGCCGATCACTGGCAATAGCCCGCTGTTGCTGCCAATTTATTTTTGCGATTTCTAGTTGTTTCACTCACCGAAAATCACTTCTATCACCACCGTTCGACTCACCGGCCTTTCCTCTTTAAAACCCCCAACATCCCAGCCACCAATTGTTTGTTAATCATCATCCTAATTTCTAGGGTTTTTTATGAACAGTAAAATTGGTAACCCCTAGTCCGGTGAAGGCCCCGAGTCTTGGCTGAACCGGTTCAACCGGTTGGGCTGGGTTAGGTTTTAAAACATTGCTCGAAACTACCAGTTAGGAAAGAGTTCCAGTGACCACTCCTATTAGTAACCATTGTGACTTGAACTCGGGAGACTATGTTAAATCCTCCTCTTGCTCTTTTACCATCAAGTGGACTTGAACTTGGTAGACCATGTTAGATCGTCATTTGCTCTTTTACTATCAGACCACCTAGTGGTTCGTCGGATTGCTATTGAGTTAGTCTTTCTTAGTTATTTAAATAATGTTTTGTTATCAGTACGTCAAGACATTATGAAATTGATCTATATCACTTATTCCAATTTTTTTCCATATTTTTATTATGATTTTTATGCAATTGTGCTTGACTTAATGAGTTTTTTATTTTATTTTCTAGACTAGTAATCTTTTAAGTTTCAATCAAACTCATTTCCTAAAATGTGGACCAACTTTATCAATTCATTGATTTACTTAATTTTTATGCATATATATAATGCCATGTTGATTTAAACATGGAAAAGACCTTAACAAATTACTCAACTTTGTCAATGAGAAGGTGGAGACATAACTAGAGAAAGCTTAAAGAATTTTGGCTTTGTTATTATGGTCAATCTATCTTCGATTACATTTTTAAAAATATATATAGTGTGTTTTTCTTCGGTTAATATATTTTTTTATATTGATTAACTCTATTGGAGAATTAGGTGCAAAAAACTGCAAAACTTACATTTATAGTTAATAAAATTACTAATACAACCCTCAAAACTGTAAAAATATTGTATAAATAGGTAGTATTATATGTGATGTGATATAAATTAATGGTCACTTGTGAGTAATATGAATAGAAGTTGAGGTGAGTCTTACTCCTCACTCAATAAGGTCTTGTTGAGTAGGAGGATTACCATCTCTTATGAACTAATAGGCTTGAGCATGAACTCATATGTTGAGTCATGTCTGTTGATGGAGGTAGTTATTGGCTCTTAACTTTTAACCCGCTGGTCAAACACCCAGTTCAACTGAACATGGTCTCTGATACTATGATATAATTTGAGGTGGGTCTCACTATTCACCCAATAAGACCTTATTGGATGAAGAGTTAGGCTCATCTCAAATTTTATTATTACTTAGTTCTAATATCTAACACTTGATGAAGTAAAAAAAATTCAGCATGTAATAATTTTCTTGAGTAAAAGTGGCTACATTTCCATTTTCCTTTTTGTACATATGATCGAGATTGTCGAACAGGCAAATTTTTTCTGCTGTTTCTGTTTAGTTATCATTTATAACCCAAGCAACAACTTTTAATCTGAAAAATCGGATTTCATGTTCTGGAAAATCATGCAGATGAGTTTGTAATATAAGCCTGAGATGTAATTGTGTCTGGAAAACAAGAGGAGGTTGAATATTGGCTCAAATTGGAAAATTCTTCATTAAAGACGTAATGGGTTTTCCTTTTTATAAGCTCATGCGAGTGTTGGTTCATTTTGTGTGGAGAAAAAACATAGGATCAACCATTTGGTTTGTGGTCGAATGGCAAGACTTTAGGTTATTTAGAGGTTTTGTGGTAGATGACCACTAGTTCCACCAAGTGGTCATTTACCACATTTGTGACTTATTTGACCCATTGAACTTATAGAATGTTCAATGGATTTATGAGATCAGTTGAAGTGCGAGCAAATTAGCCTGAACACCTTGATCACAAAAAAAGAAAAAAAAAATATATATATATATATATATATAGGGTCTTGATTGTGGCTTGAGATTGGATGTTTTTGGGACTCCAAGTCTCTAACCTATTGCAAGGGGGATGAGTGTCTTGTAAATATTTGTTTTGCCTCGTATATAACATTATCACGTGTTGACTTGGACATATTGGTCGAATTATGTAAATAATTGTGTCTGCTGTTTAATTTTTATATTGATGATTGTCTTTATATTTTTGTTTGATTGATTGTAACTTTTAATTTCAACATGTTATTCGTACTTGAAATTCTGAATTATATTTCACAAGGCAATTATTTAGTGATATCATTGATCTACATAGTATCAAAATTGGTGTGTAACGAGTCTTATTTGTCCTCCACAAGAAGAAAAAATGTCTTATACAACGGTATTAAAATCTTCTCATAAAAATATATTTTATGATGTCTTATACGACAATACTATTTTTTCGACATAAAATAATATTTATATAAGACTAGAAGCACAGTTGTCGCAAACTAGAAACCATATTCAACTAAGTAGCCTATTCGTATATTGCACGAGTAAAAAATATTTAATTAAAAAGGTCAATTTTGAAGAGTAAATGTAAGAGGTCCAACTTGAGGGGGTTAAATATTTTAACGGTTGTAACTGAAAATTTAGAAGAAACTATAAGGGGCAAAATGATGATTGACAAGTTAATAATGTTAAAGTAACGCAATGACATGCTTCAAGTCACCGTAGCTGACCAAAACAACATCCAAATGTACCTGAAAATTTAGAAACTATAAGGGGCAAAATGATCATTTTCCTCTTAACTTTTTGAAATCAAAACTAAAAAGAACCCTAAGATTTAGTGATGAAAATTGGACCTGAAACAGAATTGAAAATTGCAAAAATAGAAAGTATCCCAAATGTACAGTGAATCTTTACCTCTTAATAAGACCAATTACGTACACCCATTTGAACTAAAGAGATTTAGTGAAAGTGGGAATCAATCTTCACAGCCACCTGGCTACCAAAACTGAAGCTGTTACTTCAAATGATACAACATTTTTCTGGCTTATTAGCAGATGATCTCGGAGTCACCATAAATAAAACAATTAATCTGAAATCACAAGACATATTAAAATAAGATTATGTCTCTCAAAATACACTGAAACTGAATGTTAAAAATTGATTCAAAATATAAAACTACTAAAATGAAAATGGCTCTACCAAAATGGCAACTGTAATATCATTCACTCTTTCAAAGACCAATTGGTAGAACTTTTTGGGTTGGATGATCTTGGAATATCATTCACTCCATGTGAAAAAGCAGGTAGATTTGAAGGAAGCAATGGTAAATTTTCATCGTGACGCATCGAAAAGACATCATTCATGGTCAAGTACAACCTTTACAAATAAATCATGGAAATTAAATCTCTCTTTAATTGAAATCACCTTGCTTCTAAAATTGGAAGTGTTACTTCATTGGCAGAACATTTTTCTGGGTTGGATGATCTTGGAATATCATTCAGTACTCTACTTCGTACATGGGAAAAAGCTGGTTGATTTGGGGTACGTAGTGGTAAACTTTCATTAGTAAGCACTGAAACCACATCGTTCATGGTGGGTCTGTCTTCTGCATTTACTTCCACACAAAGGAGTGCTATATTAACAAATCTTATCAACGTTTCCCTGGAGGGCACTTCATCTAAAACTGGATCAACCAACTCTAATACCCTGTCGGTTGTCCACACAAATCCCATACCTTAACATCCACACACACAAAATTAATCATCAAGTTAGAAGTATTTCACTGTAAAACATATGCTAGCTTAATTAAACCATGAATTGGACGAAGAACTTTTGTTTTACTACGCCATTGCTGTGTCGTGGCAGGCCTTATTTCTGGTAGCGTACCTTGTTGATCCAGGACCGGTAATATATAGAACAAATCTTAAAATTATTTAACGAAATTGAAAAAAAAATTTGTTACTCACATAACCAAGGAGAGTGAGAAAGGGCGTGTGATGAAACTCATTGTTTTTCTTGCCGCTCACAATCTCCAGAAGCAATACCCCAAAGCTGAAGACATCAGATTTGACAGAGATTACTCCTTCACGGGCATATTCTGGGGATACATATCCACTGCAATTCGACAACCAATCTAGGATAATTAGTAAATCCATGATTATATATAGGTTTATTCATGCATAACTTATTAAGTATGCTTTATCTACTTACTAAGTCTCAACGATCCTCTGGGTGTTAACTTGTAACTCGTTTTCTCCAAAAATTCTTGCCATACCAAAATCTGATATTTTAAGATTCATATTTTTATCTAACAAAATATTACCCTCCTTAAGATCTCTGTGAATAATTCGAACTCTTGAATATTGATGAAGATAAATAAGTCCTTGAGCAATCCCTTGAATGATCCGAACACATATTCCCCAATCTAATAACCTACACTTAGTTGAATCTGATTTATAACAAATAAAGAAGATATTGGTAATTTAAAATTAAAAAAAAAAAAAAGACAACTAAATGTAAATTAAAAACCAATTGATACTTGGAGAAAATATACAAACCAACGAGGCACATGTCTAAGCTTTTATTAGGCATGTATTCGTAGATCAAAATCTTCTCATCTTTAAGGATGCAGCAGCCCAAAAGTCTAACAAGATTCTTGTGTTGAATCTTGGCTATGACAAGTGCTGCATTTTTTAACTCTTCCAATCCTTGCCCAGATCCTCTTGAAAGCCTTTTCACAGCTATCTCATCTCCTTTTAGTAATACTCCCTGAACGGATAATTCTTGTTAAATTTTTGTCAGCAATATCATACTTAGCTAAAGCCTGAATTTCTGCATAATTAAATAAAGTCTGACCTTGTAGACTGAGAAATTTGAGTCTGAGAAATTATTTGTTGCTGCAGAGACACTTGCGAAACTGAATAATGGTAGTTCAACTTCCTTTTTACTATTTTTCCCAAGCTTATTTACTTCATTACTGAAATCAAATAGCATCAAATCCTTTCCTGTGTTGGGCAAATTAAGAAAAATGAAAATATAAGTTCAAGGATTGTTATCACTGCTTCAATCATGCGGAAGAAAGTTTACCTTTGTTTTTGAGCTTTCTCCTAAAGTAATAAATAAGAGTACCCAAAGTGGTGATTATCAGAATTCCCATTATGAGATTTATAACACCCCTTACCGCGAATAGTATAAAGATGAAAACTGAGATGAGTACCACTGTTAGGGCCAAAAATCGTCCTTGGCCCAAATAGGCAAACGGGCCTGACCCTGAAGAAGAAGTAGGCCCAATCCCGATATGACCCAACTGGATTAGGCACATTCGGTACAAGATATAGCCGGCCCAAACCACGTGGGCACGAGCCTCCTAATCCTAGTCCTTTTCCTAGGTCCATGGCGAATCCAGAGCCCACGATCCCCTCCGAATACTTTCCTACTTCAGATCAGTCTCCCATTCAAGGTCACCTTCCTATTCCTGATCACTTTCCTACTCGGAGTCGCTTTCCTGATCAGAATCACTTTCCTATCCGGACACTGGTAAGACAGTTTACCACGACCCTAATTCTTCTAGGGTTTGCATCAGAGTCATGCTAGGACTCCTACTTCTATCAGGATTGGGAGACCAGATAGTCAGTATATAAGTAGAGGCCAGCCCTCTCACAAAGGACACGACATTACACCTTCACACCCGAAGCTCTTACTTGAGAGCTTTACATCACCGCCGTAGTCACGGTCTCCGACTAGACTTCCGGTAACCTCTCTATTCCCTAGCCCTCACTATATTAGCCTTTCAGCCTTGTTGACTTAAGCATCGGAGTGCCTATGGCAAACACCACTCCGGTGTTTCCCATTCGCTTCACGCGGTGTTTCTCTACGTGTGCAGGTACAGCAGATTACTGGTGGCCTCAACCTCGCGGGATCAGACCCCCCTTTCATACCGGTAGATTTTTACGTCTACAGTTTGGCGCCCACCGTGGGGCCTCTAGCAATCATTCGGCTCGACGAACCTTGCTACGTGGAGGAACATTCCATGGCTAACAACTCCGATAACGCTAATCCTGGCCTCGAGGCCAAACTGGAAGCTCTAACCGCTCTCATGCAACAGAACTTGGACAACGTGGCTGCATTGGAAGCTGAGAACAATGCAATCCAGACGAAAAACGCGTCCGTCAGGTCAGAAAACCAATCCCTCAAGGAGAAGGTGAGTCAATTCTATGACCTAGAGTTCCTTTCTGGCCAAGTACCCCCCAATCGGTTCTGCGCCCCTATCCCATCCTTGCAACCACTTTCCACACCAGAGCATCAGCCCTCAGCCTCCGGTAAAGGGTCGCGTCCGTTTAGAGCACTGGCGCTTGACGACTCTGTTTTGACTAATGGAGACAAAGATATGCCAGCAGAACACCATCCAGCCGACCCATCCCAGCCTCGTGACCAAGATAATCCGATAACAGAGAGCCCACATCCACAAGACCAGCCCATCCTCACCGTCCCGCACCACCTCCAGTCTACAACCCAACCAAAACCCCATTCGACTCAGCTCACCCTCGTGGGTTGAATGGCCAAACCAAACCAACTCCAGCACTCGAGTTCATCCATCCTGACAGACTGAGCGACTACTAGTCGACTCTACTGACCATTCATGTAGGGCGAAACAATAGAACAGTGACAATGGAAGTCACCCAACCGGAAGGGATGAACGAAGATCTATGCTACCAAGGAGTGCACGACAGAATGATCTATCAGACTACCCCCGAGGGATGACCCAACGGAATGTGCCGAAAACAAATGCAGTAGCAGACCCAATAAGACATGATGACCCGGTAGTATCCCCCTCTCCTATGGAACAAGTACTGGCCAAAAGACTGGCCGACGTTGAGGCAGTGATAAGACGCATTCCAGGAATGTCGGTCCCAACCAAGAAGAGCAGGCCCCATTGTTACGCGGATTCACCCTTCGTGGACGAGATCGCCCTAGCCGACTTGCCGCAGAAGTTCACTCTCCCCAACATGAAAATGTACGACGGTACAACCGATCCTGATGATCACATAGCCTCGTATAAGCAACGGATGTTCACCGTCTTGATACCCTGACTGCTTAGGGAAGCCTGCATGTGCAAAAGTTTTGGTTCGAGCTTATCCGGCCCAGCACTACAATGGTACACGAACCTCCCAAATGGATCCATCAATTCGTTCGCTCAACTCACCGACACGTTTGTGGAATAGTTCACCAGCAGCAAGAAACTCGAGAAGCTGTCAGCCGACTTATACAGAGTATACCAGAGAAAAGGCGAGCCATTGAGAGTATATGTCAGCAGGTTTAATAGAGAGAAGATTTCCATCCCAGCATGCAACCCTGAGACAGCCGTAGATGCCTTCAGGAAGGGTCTCCTCCCGGACGGAGAGCTATACAAAGAACTCACAAAGCTGGGATGCACAACAATGGAAGACGCCTTGGCCTGGGCAGTGATCTAAATAAGTTGGGAGGAGGATGAGATAAACCGAACGATTCACTCCAGATATGAACCAAGGCGGAGCGACAGGAAGCTAGAGCCTGGACCGGTAGAGCACCACTACCACCCTCCAGCAGGCAATATGGGCAGCGTCAGGAAGCCTTATGATCGCCAACCCTCGAGAAATGATAACAGGCAGTTCGAATCGAACCGACCCAAAATACCGGAGTACAACCTCAAAGTCGAACCGACCCAGGTCGTAGCAATAATGAAAGGATTAGGATCCACCGTCAAGTGGCCTAGCAAGCTCCATCTCGAGGCAAGGAGAGACACAACCAAGTGGTGTGAGTTCCACAATGACCATGGGCACAACACCGCAGACTGTATTGCCTTACGACTCGAGGTTGCCGCACTTCTGAAAAGGGGACATCTCCATGATCTGCTTACTGACAAGGGGAAGAACACCATTAGCCAGAAAAGCTCCAAAGAACCCTCACCCCCTCCGCGGGAACCCACACCAAAAGGTTTCTGTTCGCTCATCTCCGGAGGATCAGAGATCAGCGGGTTAAGTTACTCATCGGCCAAGTAGTATGCTAGAGCCAACCACCACCATGAAGTCCAGTCCATCCATCCGGTCTCGCGGTCACACTCTCATCAGGTAATTCAATTTGAAGATGACGAACTGATCACCCTGGCCGCCACTCATCACGACGCTTTAGTTGTATCCCTGCAGATTGCCAACATCCTAGTGAAAAGGGTGTTCGTAGATGGAGGTTCGTTAGCAAACATCTTGTTCCTCGAAGTAGTAAAAGCAATGGGACTAGAAGAAGCAAACATCAATAGGCAGTTGACACTGCTGGTTGGGTTCAGCTCGGAGCAGAAATACACTATTGGAGAGATAGTTCTCCCCATCTACGCCGGCGGAGTGAATAAACAGACCGTCTTCCTAGTGATCGACTGTCCATCTCCCTACAACGTTATTTTGGGCCGGCCTTGGATCCACGACATGCGGGTAGTCTCATCTACCTTCTACCAGATGATCAGGTTTCCAACCAAGTGGGGGGTACGAGAGATCAAGGGTGACCCTAAAGCTTCCAGAGACTCCTACAAGAATGCCTTCAAGAGCAAAGGAAACTCCTCATAGCAATTACAGTCTCATCCAACCCCTCGGACCGAGCCTGACCAACCGACCATTGAGGAGCTAGATGAAGTGCAGATACATCCAGACGACCCCGAGAGAAAGACACATATAGGTTCCCGCCTCGAACCCGAGACAAGGGAGAAGCTGATAGAATTTCTCAAACAGAACGAAGACTGCTTCGCCTGGTCCCACGCCGACATGACCAGAGTCAGTCCAGACGCAATGGTCCACCAGCTCAAGGCAGATCCGGATCACCCACCAGTGAAGCAGAGGAGGAGAAAATTTGCACCTGACCGAAACCGGATTGTCAATGAAGAGATTGAAAAGCTCCTAAGCAACGGCATGATCAGAGAGGTCCATTACCCCAAATGGCGAGCAAACGTCGTGGTCATAAAGAAAAAGAACGGAAGCGGAGAGTCTGCATCGACTTCACTAACTTGAACAAAGCCTGCCCCAAGGATTCTTTCCCACTCCCACATATCGACATGATGGTAGATGCGACTGCAGGGCATGAACTCTTTAGTTTCATGGACCCCTTCGCGGGATATAACCAGATCCTGATGCATCCAGATGACCAAGAGAAGACGACCTTCATCACAGAGAGGGGAACCTACTGCTACAAAGTAATGCCGTTCGGACTGAAGAACGCCAGAGCCACCTACCAACGGCTAGTCAACAAGATGTTCTCCAACTACTTAGGAGAGACTATGGAGGTTTACATCAATGACATGCTCGTCAAGTCCCTGATTGCTGAACAACACCTTAACCACCTTAGCCAGGCATTCGACGTCCTCCGGAAGTACAACATGAAGCTGAATCCAGCCAAGTGCTCCTTCGGCGTCTCATCAGGTAAATTCTTGGGCTATATGGTTACTCAGAGAGGGATAGAAGCGAACCCCGACCAGATCAGAGCGATCTTCAACATACCATCCCCTACTTGCATCAAAGACGTCCAGCGCCTTGCAGGACGAGTGGCCGCCCTGAGCCGCTTTATTTCCAGATCAGCTGATAAGTGTCACCTATTCTTCCATGCCCTCAAGAAGTCTAAGAAGTTCGACTGGAACCCCTCCTACGAAGAAGCCCTACAACAGCTGAAGAGGTATCTGACCACACCCCCGCTTCTTTCCAAACCTGTGGACGGGGAGAAGCTCTACTCTTACCTAGCGGTCTCAGAGACAGTCATCTCAGCAGTGCTAGTTCGAGAAGAAGAATCAAAACAGTTACCGGTCTACTATGTGAGCAAGTCGCTCCTCGACGCAGAAACTCGATACAGTCAACTGGAGAAACTAGCCCTCGCCCTCACCCATGCATCCAGGAAGCTCAGGCCGTACTTTCAATGCCACTCCATTGTTGTAATCACCTCCTTCCCGCTCAAGAAGATACTACACAAACCAGAACTATCAGGCCGACTCATGCAATGGACAGTAGAGCTCAGTGAGTTCGACATAGCCTACCAATCCCGCACCGCCGTCAAGTCTCAGGCACTAGCAGACTTTATTGCCGACTTCACACCAAGCGCCACCCACTAGGCCAAAAGAGAATTACTATGCATGAACGGCGCACCACC